CCTTTTTACAATTAAGACAGGTATGTGAGTGTGTACGTGGGTGTGTATGCACACACAAGAATTAGATGATGCCTCCAATATGATATGTGCTCAAAAAATAGTTCTTAAAAAAGTCAATGAATATGCATAGTGGTGCCTGTGCTTATGTGGGTTACTTTTGGTGGGGGAAAAAAATCTCTCAAGAAAGAGAAAGGAAGAAAACAAAATTATTCCCTGCTTCTTTTGATTCCCAGTGTTAGAAATCAGAGGGTTATGAGCATCCAAATCCTAGACTTTCCTGCTTCCTCCACATTCAGCAGAAATAGAACAGCAAGATGCTGGCACCTACAAATTATATCAGATGAGGAGGGTTGAGCAAGAGAGTAGGCTGGGTGTCTCTGGGGGCTGGGCTGTTCCTGGTGCTGAGAGCAGGGCATCTTAGAGCAGAACGCCACCAGCATGGGGCCCGGAGGCTGCTGGAGTGGGGAATCAGTTCCCTGGCTCTGGGTAACGTAATGTCCTTGCCCCTGACTCAGTCAGCCAGCACAGTTTTTTTTCATGTCAGATTTCTGCTATGTCCCAGATGCCTGTTGTTAATGAAGGATCTCTACGTCCCCAACACTCCGCTATGGAACTGCTAGCCACACTTAGTGACGCCCTGCAGTCGCCCTGCAGGAGAGGCGGAGAAGAAGGGCAAAGACACAAAAGGGGGACAAAGGAGTAGACAGCTCAGAGACCAGGCGTGGCCTGGTGGCCAGGACAGGGGCCGCCCTGGGTTCTGTGTTAGTACTCTCACTGCCTGATAGCAGGCCATTCTCTAAAAGGACATTAGAGATAATATTTAATTTGTCTCCTGTCACCCACTTGATGGCTGAGTTTTAAAAACCTAAGCGTCATCTGATAGGCCTGTCTCAGGCTCTTCTGAGCATTTTCTTTTTCATTTTTGAGTGTCTTTTTTCCTTCCCCATTTGGAGTCCATTTGTGCAGAAATGGCTTTAGTTGAACCAACTAGAAAAACCCTGAAATACTCAAAAGCAGTCTGAATGTCAAAAATGCCTAAGATGAAAAAATACTTAAGGGTCACTGTCTTACTGTGTGTGAACTTAGCTGGGGGACCCCACTTGCTCTTTAATAGGAATTTTAGACGAGTAGATTTTTGTTGAATTCATGTGAAAACCAGAGCCATTGGAGCATCATTTCCCAGAGCTTCTCTGAGTGAAAACCTTCCTGTTGACCATTGCTAAACTCCCTGCCTCCTTCGCTGTACAGTTTCTGTTCATCAATTCTTTATGAACTCACTAAATCAGGGACCTGCTCTGTATCAGGAACTGTGCTAAGAAGCCCAGTGGAGGAAATGGAGAAAGCTGTGAATTATAAACCACCATGAGGACACAGTCTTGGGGGAGGGTAGTCTGGGAAGACTTTCTGGAGGCGGTGACACCTGAGCAGAGTGAAGGACAACTGAGATGTCTTCAGCCAAAGAGTAGGGAAACCTTCTTCCAGACTTTTTAAATTGTCCCTGAAAAGCCAGTTACAAAACTGCTAATAATTTGGGGTGTCTGGAGCATGGACTGATGGTGAGGGGTATGAAGGCAGGGGGTGGGGTGTGAAGAGCTGAGCTAGGAGCCGATTCTGAAGCCTGGAAGACTCTCCAGAGAGCTGGGCTTATCAAAGGGCAGTGAGGAGGCGGAGGATTTGAAGCCTGTGAGTAATACCCTCAGATTTACACTTGGTGGAGAAGAAGGTTCTGGCAACTCCACCTCCCCTGCATCGCCCTAGTGACAGCAGGGGCTACACAGCAGAGGAAGGGCAGCAAGAGGAGTGCAGCAGAGGAAGCAAATAGTGAGGGTGGCGATGGTGGTGATGGTGATCAAGACGGTGATAGAACCGCCATCTTGGGCCCCTCTGAAGCCTACTGTGTTCATTGTTTTACACAGATGTTCCCATTTGATCCTCATGAAAATTATACCTAACAAATGAGGAAACTGAGGATCTGTGTGATTAAACAACTTCTTCAGGGTCAGCTGGGTTCCAGCTCCAGTTGGGTGCTCCTGAACCTTTACTCTTAACCTCTTACTCCTGGGAAGAATCTGAGAAAGCCTGACTTTCTCCCATCCTCAAAGGCCACCTAACCGACTTTATGAGCTGCCTCTGTTTTCCATCTGTTTCTTTTCACTTCTCCACAGAGTGGGCCAGAAACACTCTGGTTTAGCTCTCACTAAGCTGTTGCCTGGGGTGTGTGTAAATACTTGCTTGTTTAGATGTGAGGCACCTGGTCTTTGGGTGCCAGCTCAGTGGTGGACAGTGAATCCACAGTCTCTGTCGGCCATGGTCAGGAGCCCAGCGTGCCACCTAAGAGTGATAGATTCTTCACTCTCAGGTGTTCAGTTATTGCTGCTCTTGAAATGTTGACATTAACTGAATCTCCAGTTCCTCATTTCTGCCAGCAAACTTTACCACCTTGGAGACTCGCTGCAGCCCTCACACCCATGAGGAATCCACTAGCTTTATATTAGAACCAAGGACAGCAGGACAGCAGGGGCTGGCTGTATGATGGGGACTGGCAAGTCACAGGGGGTGCTACCTTGCTGGGCCCTTTGGTATATTAACCATTAATGGCCTCTCTTACCTCAGAATACTCTGCTTCCAGAGAGTGTGCAAAGAATTTTTGCCTTTATGTGTGCGTTTTTAAATGGGCTTCCTAATTGTGTTCTGTGAATCCCTAGGAGTCCACCAACCTCTCCTAAAACTGCATTTGAAAAGTTATATATGAACGTATGTGTATTTTTCTAGAGAGTTCTTAACTTACATAATATTCAAAAGGAGGCCTGTGACCCAATCAAAAAAAACAAAAAATCACAGTAAAACAGCAGCTGACGCTTGCTGAGCACTTTCTGTGGTCTCCACACGGGAGCTTATGTAATCCTCATGACAATCCTGGGAGCTCAGGCCATTCTTTTCCTTCTGTGATAGCTGAGGCGAGGAGACTTGAAGTTAGGCTACAGTAGCCTATCAGCAGTGAAGTTGGGATCACTCAGGGTCTGCAGTGGGCTCTGGCCTAGTAGCCACCATCACCACTCACCTGCTAGGCCTGGTGCAGACCTGGGATGAGAAGAGACCCTCTCCAGGCCCACAGTGTCTAAGCCACACGCGTGGGTGATAAGGGGATGCTAATATTTGCTCAGTGTCCTCAAATACTCTTTGTCTGCTTTCAAGGAAAAATGGCAAGCACAAATTCCATGGGTTTTTTCTGCCAAAATACCATTCAGCGGTAAGACATTAGCCATCTATTTTTTTAAATGATTATCTTTCAAGAACAAGTAAACTGTATGTTTCCAATAACTAGTGTTTTTTCTTAAAAAAAAAAAAAAGACAAAACTTTATTAAACTGTTAAAAGTTGTTTCTTTAAAAGAAAATGATGAAAGACCTCCTTTTCTCCTTTCTTAGATCCTTCCACTTTTCCTCCATGCGGGAATGTAGACTTTGTTTTCATCAGTGAACCAGCTGAAATGGGAGCTGGTTACTTTATTGTTTTGAACAGTGGACTGAGGACTACTTTAGGGGATGGGAAGAAGGGGATGGGATGTGTCCAGGCCAACTTGCTCCCCTCCAAAGTAGCAGGGCCAGGCAGTATCGCCAGGTGAAGCCCAGTCATGCTGCCACCCTGGAATCCCCTTCACTCAGACGCTGGCTTGGGAAATTCCAACTCTTGTACCACCTGCCCCATTTCCTGTAGTCACCTCCTTGCTGAGGGGGTTACAGCACCTGCATGGGCAGAACCTCACTGGGCACGTACCAAGCATACCACACACACACCCCCAGCCCTAGGATCAGGTTCTCCCAGTGTTCCAGAGAGAAATCCAGCCGAGAGTGAAGTCCAGGCTGAGGGAGCTGGAAGCATCACCCAACAAGGGGCCAGAGAGCCCAAAGGTCCATGTGGACTAGAGGAGCAGAGCAGCCATGCCTAGAACCTTGGTGATAGATAGGTGATGCTGGAGCCTCAGCGGCTCCTGACTTACCCACTTACATTTGTCCTGGAAAAGCTACTTAACCTTTCTGTACTTTGTTTTTCTGTCTACAAAATAGGAATGATAACAACTATTCCATAAGGGTATGCTGAGGAATTAAATGGAGATTAGAGAAAGTCCTCAGAACCTGGTATAGCATAAGAACTAGTGAACATCAGCTGCAATCATCAGCAAGATTATCACAGATTGAATTATGTTTCCCCCTAAAAAAGAGATGTTGAAGTTCTAACCCCATCCTCTAAGACCTGTGAATGTGACCTTATTTGGAAATGTGGTCTTTGCAGATGATTGAGTTAAAATGAGATCATTCACATGGACTCCAATTCAATATGAGTGTGTCCAGATAGAAAGGAGAAATTTGGACATAGTGGCAAACATGAGTAGAAGGGAAAACACAGGGAAGTGAGAAAAAGGTGTGGACCGAATTTTTCCTGCAGCCCTTAGAAGCAACCAACCTTATGGGCTGATCTTGGACTTCTCATCTCCAGAACTGTTATTTAAGCCATTTGGCTTATGATATGGAGAAACTAATAGAGTCATCATCGTCATCCCCAACAACAGCATTCCCCACCTTGGGTTCGCCTCCATTTGCTCCCTTCAAGGAGCAAAGACTTCCTGAAAGTGGAAGAAACCTCAATATTGAGGTCAAATTACTGTATGAGAAGGCCACCATTCAATTCAGCAGCAAGGTGGTGGCTGGGCCCAGCCGCTCCAGTACACCCAGGGTTCTTCTTAGCTGTTCTATGTACACCATTGGTTAAAGGTCTGGTAAACATCCCAGCTGTCCCTCAGGCCACCTTCCCCAGACTGCATCCCTCCTTCCACCCAGGACACTGGCACCAGGTGATGTTCAACCTGTACCTTTGCTTTTTTCATTGAGGTTCCCTCCACACCCCTCCAAAGACACGCATTGCATTTTTATTTCTCATCATCTAATAACCCAGCATTGACCTTCCTAATTTCTGCTGTGTGTTTGCCCTTTCTGTTGTTAGGTGATCCTACTGTCCACACAGCTCCTGAAGCCACTTAACATTCCCGAGCTGTTATTTGCAACTGATCGACTACATCCAGACCTTGGTTTCTGACAACTGCTAAGAAGATAAGACCTGCCCAAGCTGGAATACCAATACCGTCATCTGTCCCCATTCCAGATATGCCTCCAAAACCAGTGTCCCTGTTGCTAATTGTGGGTATGACCACATTCTGCCGGAAGAGTCTTGATAACTGAGCAGCAAGGTACTCTGTTTGGATTGCTCGTATATTTTTTTAAGTTTTTTTTTTCATTTTTCTAAAAGTGTCAAGTTCTCTTTAGCTGACCTAATAGTGATAATTTCACTCTTTATTTGTGATTCTTCCTGTAAGTTCATTAATTCGAAATAAAAGCCTGTTGTTAAGTGTGGGTAGATGACAATGAGTCTTTTGATCTGAATTGGCCAAGAAAAATTTAGGCATGCTTTAGAATTATGAGTGTGAGGAAAGTTTGCTTTTCTTTAAGATTACATAACCAAGGAGGGCATGCTGCAGATGCATCTGAGGCTCTGTTTCTCCCTTGATCTGAAACAATTCTGAAAAGGCGGGCAAGGGGAGGGGTGGCGCTGGGGCAGCCTCTGTGTGCTGTAAATCATGCTGCCTAACAAAGGGCCACATTGTTCCAGCCTGCTGGCTAGGCAGAGCTGCCAGGCTCCTTAGAACAGCAGTGGGAGAGAGGGCGAGGGGAGCGCTGTCCTTGCCTAGAGGTTTCCTCCCGCACAGAGGAAGGCCCAGTAGAAGAGATCTTGTCCCAGGGAGTCTAGATCAGGACCTCGACCCCCATGGCCTTTGTGATTTCAAGTTCCTATTAAAATATATATCTTTTCTGCAAGTTTAAAATTTCTTTCTGGCTGTAGTAGAAAAACCCAGACCCACTTAGTGAAATTATATGAGAACCCTAGGGAAAAAGAAAAGAAAGACCAAAAAAAAAAAAAAAACCTGCTTGGAACCCAGACATTTATAGGTGTACAATTGGTGGAAATTTCTGGCATCTCTAAAAGCTGTTTGAAACAAGGGAATAAAGCTGAAAAAGTTTCTAACATGAATTGAACAGGTGGAGGAAATAAAACTAAACCACAACACTCATTTATCTGATTTTAGTTCTCTAAAAAGTATTTAATTAAAAAAATTTTTTTTTAAACTGTGAAGATTTTTTTATAGAAATGGACATTCATTTTCTTGCCCCTCACTCTAGTGCTTTGTTGGTGCAAAATATCGGAGACCTCAGGCTGGGGATGTGGCTCAATCGGTAGCGTGCTCGCCTGGCATGCACAGGACGCTGGGTTCGTTACTCAACACCACATAAAAATAAAAATAAAGATGTTGTGTCCACCAAAAACCAAAAAACAAATATTTAAAAAAAAATCAGAGACTTCATATACTTATTTATTTTTTATCATGCTGGTCTAAAAGTTATCAGAATGAGGAAGAAAGTGGCAGTAGCCCCAAAGACATTATGATGTTAGCAGAGGCTAGTATTTTATAAAATGGTATAATTAGAAGAAACCTGTAATATAATTCAAATCTGAATTCATTCTCACATGTTGAGTGAGCACCTGCAATAACATTCCAGGCCCTCTATTAGGTTCCGAAACATGGTTATGCGTGAGGAGACACATCCCTGACTCAGTGGCACTCCCAGAACAAGCAACTAGTGCTTCCTTTGTGCCTGGGCCCTATGTGAGTATCTTCTCAAGGTTAAGTTGCAAATCATATACTTACAGGCAAAGGAAGCTTTCTAGAAATATAGAACCAAACTCCTAACAAGGTTACCTCTGGGGGAAAATATCCAATGGGAGGGCTATGAAAAGAGGGAGTCTCGCTTTCTGTATACTTCTGTATTTTTTTTCTTTTTTAATACCAAACTTGTATTTTTGTTTGGTATTAAAATTTAAATTTGGAGTGTGGTCAGTGAAGAGGATTGAACCCAGGGGCACTTTCCCACTGAGCTACATCCCCAGTCTTTTATATTTTTTTATTGAGACAGGATCTTGCAAAATTGCTGACGCTGGCCTTGAACTTGTGATCCTCCTGCCTCAGCTGCCCCAGTAGCTGGGATTACAGGTGTGTGCCACTGCACCTGGCACTTTTGTGACTTCAATTGTATTTTTACAAGTTAATTTTTTTTATATTACAGAAGAACATTCAAAATCTTCTACTTTTATATAATAATAGGAGAAAGTGACTAATTATAAGTGTTACTATGTAGTAGTTACCACGTCCTGAAAATGGTCTCAATACTGCATTAAACATGGCCACATTGAACATGGCCTAGTCTCTCAGTGGTGGGGAGAAAGTGCTGTTTATAATCTGTTTCCATCACTGTGGTCACTGATTGGAGGAACTGAGCCAGCGAACAAGCAGACGGCAGAAGGCTTTGGAGGGAAGGTGAACTGGAGGAAGTGAGTCTTAGCCAGTTTGCTTTGAATAAGAAGGCAGGAGGCACAGGACTGGACACAGCTGATTGGTTAAAAAGCAGGAACATCATAGAAACTTGGTATAAATCCCACAAAGGGCCTTCAGTAAATAAGGAAAAAGATGATGGTTCAGGAAATGGAGCACTGTCCCCTTGGCACATCTTGGAACCTCTTGGAACCACTGCCCCTCTTGGAAGTTCTCTGCTACTGTTTCTGTGCTCATTTTTCAGGCAAGGGAGGGGCTGCCATTTACCTTCTTCACCTACTACAAAGGAACAGAGTACAGAACAGAACTCCGAAGCCTTCTCAGGGTCAGTTCTGCCACTAAGAGCAATATGGATCCCTCCAAGCCTGTTTCTACATCTGTAAAATACAGATAATAATAGTACCACCTCTTGGGAGGCATGCTATGGAGCCATTGCTAACACAATGGCTTAGCATGTGACCCCCCGAGCAATGTCTGTCTTTACTGCTGAAGTCACCGATGAAATTACTTTACAAAATGCTAAAGTGTCAGGAGGAGAGCAAAAATAAATGAAGAAAAAGTTTGAAGGCACTCTGGATGAAAAATGGAGGATATCTTGGTCCAGTACATTTCCAAGACGAGATAACCCTGACAGCAGTATTGGTAGCCCAGTCTCATGGCTACATTCCAATTCCAGTTCTTTCACTTAGTGGTTCACTTTTCCTGGTCTTAGCTGACAATGACATCGGAGGACAATGGGCCTACTACACTGGGTTGTGGCAAGAATTAAAAGAGCTGATGCACATGTAGCAGGAATATAGCATGAGGTAAGCTCATTCACTGGAGTCACCACCGTAGGTGATTAATGTCTGATTACTTGTGCAGGGCCATCTGTCTCCAAGAGTCCTTTCTCCATCACTAACATTACTCAGAAATAGTTATAGAGAATCTGAGATTGACATCCTGATTTACCATTTCACCCTTATCCAAATGTGTCCATTTGTCATTGGGATGAGGGTTCCAAGGAGATCCCCAAAAGGCAGGTGGACTTGAACTTAGCCATTAGGGTTCTTGAAGTTGTCACAGAAAGGAATTTAAGGACAGGTCAACGTGAAGCACATACTGAACTCATTGAGAAAAAGAAAGAAGTCCACACTGAGAGACAGAGTAGAGCACAAGTGATGGCACCATCTTAACCAGGCGCATTCCACATGTGAGATCAACAGTACAGGGACATGACCTAAGAGGGTGTTTTTATTTCTCCTTTGGGTTGGTAACTGGGCATGACTGCTGCCAGTCGGGGGTAATTTACTGCTATTTGACCATTATCAGGACAGGGTATTCTTTTTCTTCCTTGTTATGCTTCTGTAAACGCAGCATAGTATTGGTGTACCTGTGGACAAGGTCTAATAATTGATTTAATAGTGCTGTTTGTGATCAGGGCATGTGAAAGTGACTTGTAAATCTGAACTTCAAATTATGTTACTCTTGTGTTGTCCCACCTGTCTCCTTTCTAACCATCCTCATGCCTCTATCCTGTGTCCTATGTGACATTCTGAGGGGATCACCCACCCCATGTCAGCCACCCAAAGGTGACATGAAATGCAGAACTGAGTGGTAGTGCTGTTCCTTCTGTCTCAGGCCTGGCGTGAGTGTTTACCACCTGAACTGGCTGGCCAGAGTCAATGCCAACATGAAAATCTCCTGCCAAGGACCTCAGAGGCCACTTTTTATAAACAACAGTAGATAAAGGTGTAAATACTTTGTAGCAATTGACTTGTACTTTTGTAAGCCTCTTTCTGGAGCTCCTCTGCAAACAGAGTCTGGCAGAGCTCCAGAACTACTCAGCCCAGCATGGTCCCCAGGGCCAGGCCTATGCAAATATTCTGCTTCTCCTAGGGCCCCTACTTACAGCCACATTTAAATAACAAAGAATTCCATCAAGCTCCCCGCCCCCAAGACCACTATTATTTATTTTACCCTGGTTACCAGAAACCAAATCTTAACAACAAATAATCCAGTATTATAAACATTGTCTTCATCCTGCTCAAGAAACATCAAGAAACTCCATCTCTGTTTTCAAAGGAATTTAAGGAGACCAAACAAGACGATGGGAGATTTGCAGACTGTGAGAAGAAGGCATTGGGTGGCTGGGGTCTTGCCATCATCAGCAATAACTGTAATCCCGTTCTCTTCTCAAATTCGGGAGTAATGAGGACAATAAGAACTTTCTGGAATCTTCTCTTTAGACTTTCAAGGGAGTGCCAACAACACCAGTTTTCCTGGATTATTTATTGTAACCAGACAAGCTCCATGATTCCTTCTGGGCTGTGTCCCCCCCACCCCCACCCCTTCTTGCTCTGGGCCTGTCATGAGTTTTCTCTACAGAGACTTCTGAACCATCCCACCCCCCCTAAGCCAAGTCTAGATAACAGTTTCCCAACTACTCCTTTGTGGGGATTTGCCCACAAGCTTGTTCATTTGCCCAGAAAATAGATTTCTTTTTTTCCCTCTTGGGGTGTAAGATGAATGTTGAAATCCCATTTTTCTCCTAAACAAGGATGTCTCTATAAACACATCCATAGCTCCTAAGCCTTGGGGTTAAGAGCTGGCCAAGCTGGCAAATCAGCCATCCCTGTGTCTGCACAGCCCCTGCTTGGCCTACTGCAGAGGCTGCAAATGGTTTTGATTTGAGGCAGGGAGGAAACTCGAAAGCCAGACATCACGACAGACATGGGTCCGGCTGGTTCTTAGACAGACGGGCTGCGTGGCCGCCCCTCCTGCCTGGACATCTTTATTACCGAGGGGGCTGGAGGCCAGCAGCAGCTGGCTGATGGCAAGAGCAGATGTGGCCTAGCCCCAAAGGGGGACTGGCCAGGGAGGAGCCAGGAGCAGAAGGAAGCAGGCCCAGGCCAGAACAGAGTGGGGAAGGCAGGTCCCTGGTGGAGTCTAATTCAAGGAACGGGGACCAGCAGGCCCCAGAGTTTTAAAC